GGCGTGGTTTCGCCTGACGTGTGATGTTCTTGCGCTGTTCCATGCAGAGAATGCGCGAAAGTCCATCGATGGCCACCTAAGATGATGAGGAGGATGAGGAAGATGACGACGATGATATTGATGATGACGACGACGATGACGATTAAGATAATTATGATGACAAATATTTATTTGGAAATGCACTTGTGAGTATTTGTAAATTATTTCAAATTTAGCAGCGTAACGACTGCAAAGAAATCACCTTCTTCAGCCACTTGGGCACCTTGTTCCTCTTGTCCTCCCGCTTGTACATGTTGATGACGGTGGCCGATATGAAGGTGGAGAGGGTTATCAGAACCATGTTCAGGCAGAAATATGCTCCTAACATTTTAAATTATTTAAGTTTATCACTCAAGTCATCTGACAAGTTAATTTACTGAGAGGAAAATTCATGAAATGAAATTCTGTATGCTATGCTGGCGTTAAAATGAAAGTTAAGCAGGTACGCGCATTGGAACAATTAAATTTTTTCCTGTACGCCAAACAATTGAATATGCAATTAAATCAGTAATAAATAAGAAATGTTTAAATGCAAAATTTTTTTAGAAAATTAAATTATAAAAAACGAGATGGAAAATGAATGAAACCGACCGATGATGGGTATGGAGTAGGAGGCAGGTGTGCGAGATGAGAGGAGTTTCAAGAGGAGGAAGAACGCCAGGAAGAGGTTCATTCCTGTGTGTCGTCATTTTCCATTTTTTAGAAATTTTTTTTGAGTTATCGTAGTTTCAAACTCACCACAAACCAAATTAATATGATCACCGTACAAATCGAATGTTTTATTTTTTACGGTCATAACTATTCAATATTTTCACCACCACAGTTGTTTTTTGAATGTCTGGTGTCATCACATCAGTCCAATAATTGTCATCACCAGTTGCCCCATAGTTAGAATCGTCCTTCTTATCACTTATTCATGCAACTCGCCTCATGAGATTCGCAACATCGCCAGTGATAATAAACAATTGTACTTACTGCATACAATTTACACGTATACGCGTGCAAATACATACACGTTAAACAATTTTCCAAATGCTGTATTCGCGAATGTCCGTCATATTTTAAGAGGCTTTTGTTGTTTTGGGTTGCTGAAAACCTTTGTATACTGTTTAATATTTTAATCAACCAAACATTTTTTCAAACATCAAAAATTAATTTATTAATGCAAACAATTAGAGTGTAATTTAACGATTATTAACCCAAAAGTATTTATTTGAAAATGTTAAATTTTAAATATAAATAATTGATGAATTGTATCCTTTGTTACAAATCATTCTTCTACAAATTCTAGAATTAAAATATTGACGCAGACATGCCCGTGGTTCAAACTTTCATTCTCTAAGACATTTAAAGTGGGATTTTAGTATTAATTGCGCAAAAATGCAGAGTTGTATTTCATTTTCATTCTTCCTACATTGAAATCAAAGTGTTTTCTAGAAATTTACTCTGAATGTAACATATTCAAAACGCTCTTGCATAGCAATTACATTTTTCGACTAGACAAGTGCCCTCAGAATTGAGTTCCT